CCACAGGGTATCCTTCCTAGCTATCAGGCACACACACACATATGTTTATGACCTCTGCAAGAATACAAAAGCTCTAATATTGTGGTGAAAGATGTACATGCACATAGGGAGGTTGAGAGGAAGCATATACGCTGAGAGGAAGGAACACCACCAGCCTGATCAAGAAAGCTCATCAGAGTCTCTACTTCCTCGGGCGACTGAGGCGAGCTGGTCTGGGAAGCTCAGTCCTCACCTCCTTCTACAGGTGTGCAGTGGAGAGCATCCTGTGCTCCAGCATCAACGTGTGGCATGGAGGCTGCACAGCTGCAGAAAGAAAAGCTTTGCAGAGAGTGGTGAAGGCTGCACAGAAATCTGTTGGAATCAGTCTCCCCACAATCACAGACATCTACACCTCCAGATGCAGGAAGAGAGCCACCTGCATCATGAAGGACCCCACTCACCCAGCACACACACTTTTTGCCCCACTCTCCTCAGGCAGGAGGTTGAGGAGCATTAAGTGTAGAACCACTAGACTGAGGAACAGCTTCTACCCTGAAGCTGTTAGATTCATAAATCTCTAACCAGGATGAGAAAAATCGCATCATGTTGCTGCTGATCTGTTTCATGTTGCTGCTGATCTGTTTCATGTTGCTGTGTTCATTTGTGCTCATCTGCTCATACAGACTCATGTTTGTGCTTCTGTTCGACATATTGTTTTTAATGCTACTAGTGCTTAGCATATTTTTAGTTGATGTTTTAGTTCAGATCTTAGATTTATTGCCGTTTTTCTTTTACAATTTAATACTTTTGTTGGATGTAACTGGGACCCTGTGTACACAATTTCGTTCCACCATATGTACCACTCGTGGTGCGTACGACAAATAAAGAACCTTGAAATATATTGCTGCTAAAGTGAGTGAACAGAGAACAACAGAGAGGATCAGAGCATGCTTTAGTGCACTCACAACGAAATGTTTCCTCATAATTTTTTTAGATACATGCACATTTTCAGATTCAAGTCACAAAATTTCTCTTAGGACTAACAAAAGATTTAAATGTTGAAAGATGGAAATGTAAATTATCCTATAAAACTGAATTGTTACAACTGTCACAAGCAAACTTACTGAAACCAATGTGTTTGTGTCAATCGGTCCAAATCCTCCTTAATCTTAGTTTTCGTGCATTAGATTCAAACTCATTTTACTATTTAAGAATACATAAAAACTAATAAAGTTTCTTCCCTTTAAATGGGAGTTTTTATTTTCCACTGCTGCCATTGTGCTTGCTCAGGATGGGAGACTGTGACGAAGTGAATTGTCAATTGCCAATTACAGGTGGTGATAAGTTTAAGATTGCATCAGTCCTTTAGCACCAATTGTACCCTGATAACGGAGACTACTAACCTAACTCTAACGGATTTCATCAGTCTAACAAAACTTGAGGGTTAAATACAAATGCATTCACACAGCTTCAAATTCACTGTAGAATTGGTGTGCATGTCTTGAACCTGGAAAGAGGAGACAGTTCAACTCATCAAACTACCTTCAAAACAGGAAACACTCAAAAAGCTCTTAAAGAATTAGAGAGTTCAAACTAGGAGCTTTTATAGTACAAAATGACAGGACTAGTTAGGTCAAATTAAAAACACAAGTGTCACAACAAGCGGGTGCACCCAGTGGTGCATGCAAGCAGGCGAGGACTCAGGATAAATATAAAATAAAGAATTTATTAACAAAACAAAAGAGCTGGCAGGGCAGCAAAACCAAACATGGATGATCAGGAGGTACTCACAGAACAGACAGGTGAGCAGAAGACAATGCCAGGACGAGGGGTAATACAAACACACAGGCTTAAATACAAATATTGACAAGGACTAACAACACCTGTCAGATTCACAGGTGTAGGGAATAGGGTAATCAGACAGAAAAGAGCAGGACTGAGACTGGGGAGCAGGCATACAAAAGACATGAACACAACACAAGGTGGAGCCAGAGACCAAGGAAAACACAAACCCTATGAAGACAGAAACACAGGATGGGGAGACAGCAAGACATAAATACAACACCAGATGGGGGTAAACACCAGGGGGCAAAAAAAATAAAAAACTACAAAAAGTGTAATATAGACTTTACAATCAATCAAACAATTATTTTACCTATTTTAGATACCTTTTTGAACAACCTTAGTTTGGAAAAATAAAGTTTATTTCTGACCTGAATGATGAGCTAACAGCTAGTTCGATCGCAGCTAAGGCCAAAATGGATTCCTGCCATTTTGAAACTGTTCCAATCTGTGAAATCTTATAGCAGTTTGTGCCGTTGCTATTTTATAGACCTTTAGAGCTTTGACACTTGTGTCTCAATATATAGTAATTTACATAATTTGTTGTGCTTTTTATGGTTATTAGCCACTATGTATTGCAGTGATTTGGGGTTGATGGTTGTTGAGGACCTAAAATGCAGGTATAGTTCCAAGAAGTTATTTAATTAATTTAAAAAAAAAAGCAGGAGTTCATGAATAAAGCAGATTTTGATGAAACCTGTTTAAAAAAAATGATTGGATTTCCATTTACAAATGATTAATGTTTGAATTCAACAAAATTTAAGATGGCTGCTACAGCCATGGATGTGACTCTAGGAAACAAAAACATCTAAAACCAGCTAACTTTACAGCTATTGAGTTAAATATGTTTTGGTAGTAGCTTACACAGGGCTAACATCATGCAAGATAATGCAAGATGTCAAATGATACTGAACAAATTGTTATTTTCAATGTATAATAAAAATGGCTATAACTCCGTTATTCCACACCTTAGAACATGTGTCAAACTCAAGGCCCAGGGGCCAAATGTGGCCCTTGCTCACATCTTATCTGGCCCCCAAGATGATATGTTAAACATAAAATATTTTATCACTTGAATTTTTTCAGTAATCTTTGATTATCATGTTGAAAGTGCAACAGAGCACATCAAATGAGACCAATCAAACTTTTGTTGAGGAACTTGCATCCAAGAAAAGATGTCAGGTATCTAACTTGAGTTAATGTAGATTCTGAAACTGGACCTTAGTTTGAAAAATATTTTAATTTTGGCCCCCTTTTGTAAGTGAGTTTGACACCCCTGCCTTAGAAGGATTTTAATTTAAAACTCTGGCATGAAAGGCAGCAGGCAATGGATAATCATTCAACATTCAACGTCAAACAATTGCTAAATCTCTCATGTGATTTCACTTGTAGCAACCCCTGCAGAAGAGCGTGGATGAAAATAAATAATAATAAAAAACTGAAAATAAATCTGATGCATCTGATTGCAAACCAAAACGCATGACTTTATAATTAAAAAAAGGAAAAACATTTGTTCACAACGCATGGGTGTGAGGGCTTCTCACTACTGATGATGGACTGAATTTTCCTGATTCATCCTCATCATTCCTTTTTTTTTTCATTCAACCTTTATTTAGAAGGTTAATCCCATTGAGCCTCGAGGACTCATTTACAAGAGAGACCTGATTTCTTAACAAAGAGTGATGACAACAGTGGACAACAACGACAACAATAGACAGTCATAAAAGAGGGATACAAATTTTTAAAAATATATATTTTTTTACAAATCAAAACAAAATAGCAACCAAAAGGACAATCAAGAGGAATAGTAGCCAAAAAAAAAAAAAAACAGCTGGATTATAAGGTGATGTAGAAAACTAAAAACAGGAACATGTCTGCATTGGTTTTTGCCAGGAACTTAACAGATGTTTGAAACCACTTAGAGAGGTCAAGGTCGAGAGCTTCAGATCTTTTTGCAAGATATTCCAGGAAACAGGAGTAGGAGAAGGCTCTTTTGCCTAGTTCATTCCGCACTGAGGGGACACTGCAGGTAATAATGTCCTGAGAGCGCACGCTTTAGCTGCACTCACGCAGAGACATGTAGGAGGAGATGTTTGAAGGCAGCAGACCAAGAAGTGATTTAAAGATGAAACTGTACCAGTGAGAGAGTCTGCGTGAAGTTAATGATGTCCAGTTAACCAGTGAATACAGGGTGCAATGAAGGTTACGGTAGTTGCAGCCAGTTATGAATTTTAGTGCCCCGTGATAGACAGCATCCAACATCTGCAGGGTTCTTGTAGGAGCGTTCATGTAAATAATGTCACCGTAGTCAATGGAAGGAAGGAAAGTCACAGATACAAGGTGTTTCCTAGCATTCAGATTTAGACAGGATCTGTTTCTGAAAAAGAAACCCAGTTTAACTTTCAGTTTCTTTACTAGGTTTTCTACATGGAGCTTAAAAGAGAGATGCGAGTCGACCAAGATACCAAAATATTTATAGGAATCGACAAACTCAATAGGAACACCATTTGAGGATAAAATCGGAGGAAGAACTGCTGGGACTGACTTCCTGTTTGAAAAAAGCATCCCTTTGGTTTTATCGACATTTAGGACAAGTTTGAGGCGAAACAAATCTGACTGGATAATGTTAAATGCAGATTGCAAAAGCTGGAAAGCCTTAGCAACTGTTTTAACTCAACAATAAACAACTGCGTCATCAGCATAGAAATGAAAGGATGCATCAGGGATGTTCTGACCTGCATTACCTATGTAGATTGTAAAGAGGGTGTGTCCTAAGACTGAGCCTTGAGGTACACCATTGTTGACTGTTAAATAACTGGAGGAAGTGCCATTATGTTGAACACATTGCCTCCGATCTGAAAGATAATTAGAGAACCAACCAATGGTGTGTTCTGAGAAACCAATTTCTGAGAGCTTATGACACAAGATGTTATGATCCACTGTGTCAAAAGCTTTAGACAGGTCTAAGAAAAGTGCAGCACAATAATCCTTAGCATCCAGTGCTTCAACAACGTCATTAAGATCCTTCAGTGAAGCAGTCGTTGTGCTGTGTTGTTTCTTGAAACCAGATTGATGGAGAGGTAAGATGTTCAATGAGTCCAAATACTTTTTGATTTGAGAGTTGATCAGTTTTTAAATTCCTTGTTGCTTTTTTATTCCTTGTTGTGTTTTTGTGACAGATGAAGTTCAGACAGTTTGCGGCTCACCTGCTGAAATGCAAGGTCGTCGTCTGGGTGAGGTGGGCATCCAGTTGCAGATGGTATGTCACCAGACTCTGGGCTCCTGGGATTTCCTCTTCTTTGTTGTCATCGGCTTTGTCATCTTTGCGGCTGGGACTGTGTCAGCGTGGTTGATGGGCGTTATCATGGTGATGTATGAGCGCTACCTCAAGAATAAAGAAGAGCAGCTGGATTTGGAGAATGAGGATGGAAGTAATGAGACGAGTCACCCATTGAGGGGCCACCACAACAAGAGTTTAAAAAACTCATATACGGTTTAAAATACTTTAATCCTCACCCTGTAGAAAGGGATTCCTACAGTGCCTGCTTTTTATCTCCACAACTGTCTGTGAAGTCTGGTTCGGCTTTCAAAAAGAGAAAGAACAATATCTTTCTTTGCATCTGTAGTGGGTTTTCAGGTGATGTAGTCAGAGCTGGGTAACCATGGCAGATATATGCAAATCTATGACTGTTCGTTTCTGTGCTACGTGTGAATGAGAAGCAGATTTGTTGGCCAGAAATAAAGGTCAGGAAAACAAAAGTTCATAGAAGAAACCATTTTAAGGATGTCAGCCATACTCTTAAAGGGATTTTTGGGACATTTTGAAGTGGGGTTCTTATAAACAACAATATCCAACTCATAAACAGGTATTTGTTTCAGTTTGGGGAAACTGCAGATTTATTTTGACAAGAATGGCATGGTTACAGCAAGTTCAGTCACCACTAGGAAGGACGTGCATCATCGACATCTTAAAACCGCTTTAATTGCAGTATTATTAGTCAAAATGCAAACACTGTTTGCATCATCAGTTTCACATTACACAAATATTGACATGGAATTATGTTGTTTGCAAGTGCAAATACTGTAGTAGCAACAGCTATCTGTAGTATTTCCAATGCAGTCAGGCATCCCTTCCTGCTTGAATCCTATTCATCATATGATATGAATCATATTCAATCATATTTCTGCCAGATTATGCAGTAAGAAGGTGATGACAATGTTAATGTCTAAATAAGTGTTTGCATGACTCACCTTAAATCTTTAAAGTCTGGATTTGTTTTAGGTCAACTCCAATTAAAAATAAATCATGGCAGTTTATTTGAATGCTGTTATTCAAACTGCTGTCAACTAAGCAAAGTTTTAAGTTTTTTTTCTGCAGAAATATCATGAAGTCCTGCTGGAAGTGCCCCAGGCTGCTTAGGAAGTGATACAACATGCTATGATTATACAGGTTACTGTTTGCAAATTACACAATTTTGCTAATTACACAAGCAAGACACCTATTATTCCCCAACTGCATGGGGAATATGTGTCTTGCTTAAGGGCACCACAACATATGGGCATAGTGGGGAGCTGAACTTGCGACTCTCCATGCCCAAATTAGTAATTAGTTGCCCACTGCTTCACAGCTAAGAAGTACTCCATTTTGATCTTTACTACATTCGGATTATCTGTTAGCTTGTCAGTACTTTTAAAATTATGTTCATTCAAAGTGCTATCTTCAAGAAATATATTAATTATTCATAACCTTTCCACAGGATCCCATCTCAAAATGACCTCAATCCTCTGTAGAACCTGTACTATGCCATAATAAATGTTCTTAATGTTGTTTGTGTCTAATAAAACTATTTTACATGCTTTATTTCCAAAACTCCATAGTTTAAAAGAACTGTATGGTGCTGCAGCGCTTTGTTGTTATCTATATAAACCAGTTGGTTCATTTATTTAAACCACACCCCTTTCTAAAAACACTTTGCTGTGATAGGTCAAAAATTATGCATGGCAAAACGGCTGTTTGTTCTTCACTGGTGGTGTAACAAACCAACCACTAAAATGGTTAGGCAAATTGATTTATTGATTTGAGTGTTACTAGGGATGGAGCTGATTCGATCCAGTGTTCCGATACCAGCATAATTTACGTATCTGTATTTTCCGATCCAACCTGCAGAGATTTCCGATCCATGATGCATGTCTGCTGAAACGACTGCTCTGCAAGTTGGTTTCAAACTATGGAATGGATTTCCTGAACGGAGGCGTGTCTCATGAACCCAGAGTAATAAGACCCGCCTCACATTCAGGAAATCCATGTCATAGTTTGCAGCCAGCTACAATGTGAGCATTGAGGACTGAGCACAGTGTTGCCAGGTGTACGATAATTATCATATTTGTACGACAATTTTGTCCTCTGTACGATCAATAATCCAAAAAAAGGCCAAATATACGATAATTTGACCATTCCGTGAATGTGTGGTTGTAATCGGTTGTCATCAGCCTCTCGCAACTGTCTGTCAGGATTTTTTGGTGAACCTTGAAGGCATCTGTGTCCGCAAACAGATGTGCTTTTCTAAATGTTACCTACGAGTGACGTGTATGCGTTTGCCTCAGAACAACGGCCATGATTGGCTGAATAGTCCGCTGCACCCACCCCATGAGTGAGGAAAAGAAGAAGAAGCAGAGCCGGTCTGGAAGCGGACCCATCACTACTAGTGTATCAATAGATTTGTTATTCTGGTTATGACTGGTGTACAATAATTTCCCACAAAATACGATAATTTTATGTCTCTAGTATGATAATCCTACATTTCTCACCTGGCAACACTGACTGAGCAGCACTGTGGCTAACGGCTAACCAACTTTTCATCGCATCATGTCCGCTGTGTGGAAGTATTTTACATTAGAAACACCGCAAAACAGCAACGTGCAATGTCTGCAAAGCCGCTTTACCAAGAGGAGGAAGCTCTGTCCCGATCTACAATACAACAAACTTAATCAAACATTTGAAAAAGCACCGCATTAAAGATCATGAGGATTGTTTAGCCAGGCGGGAGAAAAACAAAAGGAGCTGGCAGAAATCACTTCTGGAGTCGTTCCAACAGCAAGGTAAACTTCCACTGGACAACGTGAAAGCTAAAAGGATTAAGAGAAGTTGCTGAACTTCATCGTACTTGATGATCAACCACAATCAGTTGTAGAAAACGAAGGATTTCGCAGCTTGATTGAATACTTGCAGCCAAGTTTATCCTCTACGGTGGCGCAACTGGTAGAGCTGCTGCCTCTCAGCGAGCAGGTCCCTGGTTCAAACCCCGGTCCAGGGGCCTTTCTGGGTGGAGTTTGCATGTTCTCTCCGTGCATGCGTGGGTTTTCTCCGGGTACTCCGGTTTCCTCCCACAGTCCAAAAACATGCATGTTAGGCTGATTGGTAACTCTAAATTGTCCCTAGGTGTGAGTGAGAGAGTGAATGGTTGTTTGTCTCGTTTGTCTCTATGTGGCCCTGCGATGGACTTGCGACCCGTCCAGGGTGTACCCCGCCCCTCGCACAGTGATTGCTGGACATGGGCACCAGCGACCCCCGTGACCCAAAATGGAATAAACGGGTAAAGAAAATGGATGGATGGATGGAAGTTTATCCTCTTAACCTAACCTTGTACTTACCTCAACTTGCCTTTTTGGACATGCATGCATATACAGTATTTGTACAAATTGCACTTGCCTATAAAGTGGAGTTTATCACAGCCTCATATAAAATCAGTAATGATGATGATATCAGAACAATGTTGGAATAGTATCTGTATCGACAGATATCCAGATTTAGGTATCGGAATCCTTTCGGAAGCTAAAAAAATGTGGATCTGTGCGTCCCTGTTACTTTATCTATTTATTTTATTTATTTTTAACTCTGCAGACATTGTGCACAGACAGAAAAACACAGTGTTCTGTAAAAAAAAAAAAAGCTTAAAAAACAATGGCACAAATATACATTTATAATATTTTTTTAATCATCGAAGGTCACAATTAATGCTTCACTGCATTTATTGTTGTATGAGCAACAACAAGTAAATGAGAGTTAAAATGGTTTTTCTTCGTAAACTTCATATTTCCTTAATGAAACTTACCAGACAGACATTTTTGTTGCTGTTAAACTCATGGTGTTTGAAACAGAACTGGCCAATACACACTCATTCATAAACAATAGTTTTTTATGTGATTTGATATAACTGAATGATTTATTTCTCAGCCCCTATTCAACAAGCAGGAATGAAGCCTTTAATGAGAAAATAATTTGTTTTCAATAAATGTTTTGTACACAACACAAAAAAAGCATTTTTATTTAAATTAATGTTTTGTGTAATGCTTTCAGGAGTTAGCACAATGACTTAATTAATAGCCTAATTTACCAAATTGAAAAATAAATTTTTTTAACAAGCCGATTGTAGAGATTGAAAAGCCTGAAACAGCTCAGCTCTTCAGTTTAAAAAGGCAGAAAATTCTGCTCTCTACCGTTCTCAAAGTACTGGCCCAGAAACATGTTTTCATGCAATAAAAATAAACTATTATCTGGCCACTAACTTAAACAAAAAATTAACTTGTAGACAAAACACAACCTTGATTATGGCAGATAGAGTCAAAAAGATCTGTGGTACCACTTTACAATAAGGCTCCCCTTACAGATGGATAATAGTTTATAGGTATGTTGTTAATTGCTTTATGAACACTTTATAAATCATTAATAACTGCTTATTATGCATTAATTAAGGGCAAGAATGAGACAAAACTGACCAGTTTCTTGCCAAATAGTGCACAAATCTGTTCATCTATATATTTCATCTAGAGTTGCTGTATTAAACATTTCAGACTAAGTTATATCTCGTAAGCACAATAAGCATTTGTAAACCTATTTTTTAGCATATAATATTGTACTTTATCACTGCATTATAAGTATAGTTGTAGATACTTATAATGTAGTGATAAAGTACAATAGTATATGCTAAAGAAATATTATTGTGCTGACAAGGTAGTAACTTAGTTTGAAATAATTAATATTAAGCTTTAATATAGAAAGTTGACGGATGTTGGAATTTCAGGCAGTAGCACTATTTGGGACGGTTTAAATTTTTCTTTAGAACTTTCTAGGCACATGTTACTTTTATTTAATTTATTTTTTCATTTGGCTGTCCTCTGTGTGGAGCAGAGAGCAGCCATCTAGGGTGCTCGGGGTAGCAAATGGTGGGGGTTAAGGGCCTTGCTCAAGGGCCCAGAGTGAGGCAAATGATGGTGGAGGCAGGTATAGGTGCTTCACTTTTCCCTCCCACATTTTGATGTTGTCAGTTCAGGGAATTGAGCCTGCAACCTTCCGATCACATGCTCACCTGCACTGCCACCCCTCCCCTATGTTACTTTTGTTAATGGTTGCTGTTTAGTTAAAGTTTCTTTTTTCTGTTTTGCACTATTAACAATATTGTTATTTTTAATATATAAAATGTATTCTTACCAATATTTCAA